GCAGGTCTTCGCTGTTGATTGGAGCCCGGACGGACAACGAGTTGTCAGTGGAGGAAAGGACAAGGTTCTTAAGATGTAAGTTTCTGATGTCATGTGCTCAAACTATCCTGTCTTGTATATTCTACTGTTGAAGCAGCTAGAGAACTGTTCTCGTGTAGACCTTACCTTGATGTCTCGTGGGAAACTGAAGTTTATGTCCAAGTACCAGATGGGTATACCTATGTCATAGCACCTGCAAACAAGTTAAGATAAAAGTTTTTTTCTGTGGCAAGGACTCTCTGTCAGTCTCTGAAGAATGAAATCAGAACTTTTGAGCTAAAATGCTATAGAAAAATTATCAAAATACTTTCAGCCAAGAAGAAGACAACCATTGACATCCTGCATGATCTGAACATCAAGGAAAACTAGCTCGTAAAGAGCATCCTCTCCCGAAAGCTGAGGTATTTTAGACATGTCATGTGCCATGTTGGTCGGGAGAGAACAGTGATGGAGGGTGCTGTTTGCGGAAAAAAAGACAGACCTCTGTGAATGTGGATACAGGAGATTGACTATGGCAATAAAAGCACCCAAGGCTCAAGAATTGGCTAGAGAAAGAAAGGTTTTCAGGTGTGCTGTGATGAGAGCCACTAACTACAAGGCACATGCTGATTGATTGAATGATTGACCAGACGTGTTGTGCTGACTCATGTAAGTATGTACTGTCACAATCTTCCAGGATTCACAAAAAACAACTAACCATATCATTGTTTATATAACGTTCTATAATTTTAATTTTTTATAAATATCACCAGAAAATAAATAAATAGCAATTTTTTTTAATTCTGTGGTAGTATACAGGATGTAGGTCATGGACCAATTCACAGTCAGTGAAAAGAAAATGTACATAATCTGCATAGCCAGACTTTTTTGGAAACTAAAAATTGGGAATACAAGTTTCTTGAGACTGAAAAGACCATAACCTGCAGAATTGGGGTCACTTGAGTTAAGAAATGATATCACATCAGTTGGGACATTCCTGTGAGGGCTCCATCCTTATCTTCAGCAGCCAGCTCAGAGTTCTAATGGCACCAGTCACAGTCTGTATGTATATCTTGCCTTTCCTCTAATCATTGTTAACCAGATCCCGTGGTCACTCCCCTCTCTACTGATCTCTACAGACTGTGACGATCTATTTGTGCCTCTGCACTGTTTCTCAAAGGGCTTGACAACATCTGTCATGAATTAATATAAACCAAGTGGTGCACTGCCACCCAATCTACCTGCCTGTTTATTCCTCATCACACGTGCATTCTCTAGACAAAATATCCAAAGAATATTAACTGCCATGGGTCTCTGAAGCAATGCTTGCCACTCTTGCCACCTTTCTCAGCATGCTTTGTGATTCAGTTACAATCAGGAAATGTGTGTGCAGCTGATTCTTAAGCCAGCAGAAGTTGCTGTAACTGCATTCATCTCTTTTCTTATACTAGATGTTATAATAGTATATTGTAAACTCCCCGTGTGGGTTCTGTGGCCCCAGTTTGTTGGTTCTGGGGCCCCATTATGTGGGTTCTAGGGTCCCATTGTGGGAAAAAGATTAGACCCACTGCCCCCTAACAAGCCTGTTGTAAGGGATGACTAACTGGGTGTTTCCTTCATAGTCAAAGTGCATCTGCCTGAGAGGTAAGGAACCAACAATCTGCATACAAATAAATCAGATTTGTAAAACGGATGTGCACACAACTCTTGTCCTGGAACAGGTCTTAAATCCGGAGGTAAATGAACAACCAGAACTTTCCGCTGGAGTTTATAGCTGGTAAATACGAAGAAGATAAAGAACCTTACAAACACGTGAACAACTTGCACATAAAATTTAACACATTAAATTGTATCATTACATGTTGCAGCTGGCGAGCCTAGTCAAGGTTGCAGTGTTATTTTCTGAAGAACATCTCCCAAAGAACTCAAGTTACATTTGGCTGACAAATTCCTCACCTCTCTAGAGTCAGCAGAAAGACAGAATGCTGACAAACAGATGTAATTCAGCAAAGTAATGAAAAAGACACAGTGTACATTACAAAGACTGTAAACTAACTTTTAAATAAATAAAAAAAATATTTAAAAAAACTCAGAATTTAATTGTGTGCATGTATATTCATGTATATGAGGGTTGGGGCTGTATACCGTCCAAGAATGTGTCAAGATTGAAGCTTTATACTGTCTAAGATTGGGGCTGTATACTGCCCAATTATGTGTCAAAGTTTGGGCTGATTGGACTTGCTGCTTGATGATGATGATTATGTACAGACAATTAGACAGTGTTATCAACCTGATTCAGTCCAGTAGTGTGTCAAAGTTGGGGCTTTATACTGTTAAACAGTGTGTTATGGTTGGGGCTGCATACTATCTAAGGTTGTGTCAAGGGTGGGGCTGTATGCTGTCCAAGGTTGTGTCAAGGTTAGGGCTGTATACTGTTTAACAGCATGTCAAGGTTGGGGGCTAAATACTGTCTAAGGTTGTGCCAGGGTTGGGGCTGTATACTGTCCAACAGTGTGTCAAGGTTGGGGTTGTATACTGTTTAACAGCATGTCAAGGTTGGGGGCTGTATACTGTCTAAGGTTGTGCCAGGGTTGGGGCTGTATACTGACCAATGTTGTGGCTGTATACTGTTCAACAATGTGTCAAGGTTGGGGCTGTATACTGTCCAACAGTGTGTCAAGGTTGGGGTTGTATACTGTCTAAGGTTGTGCCAGGGTTGGGGCTGTATACTGTCCAACAGTGTGCCAAGGTTGGGGTTGTATACTGTCTAAGGTGTCAAGGTTGGGGGCTGTATACGGTCTAAGGTTGTGCCAGGGTTGAGGCTGTATACTGACCAATATTGTGGCTGTATACTGTCCAAGGTTGTATCAAGGCTGGAAGTGTATACTATCGACGATGTGTCTAGGTTGGGCTGTTTAGTGTCCAATAATCTGTCAAGGTTGAGACTGTCTGTTGTATACTGTCTGATGATGTGTCATTGTTGGGGCTGACACTGACCTAGAACTGAATCTTACAAGAAATGACTGCAAATATTTTATCAGGAATTAGAATCACAAACATTGTCCACCTCTCACTAATGAACTTAGCGCTTCTTTCAAGGAGGAGAGAAAAGGGCAGGTACACCATGTAGAGCTGTGGTAATTAATATAGTTTCCCTCAACTCATTTACATATCTGCTGTAGACTCCTCTGGGATTATTCACAGCATGGGTAAATCGTTTCCCTGCCCAGCACCAACACACGAGCCCCGCTAGAACCTGGACAGATGACTGAATTGTGTAGAGTCTGCCTGACGTCTATGTCAGCGTTACCTGGGTTGCCATGGTAACTAACACTGATCTGTTTGGCACATCCATGAGGGTGAGAGACTATGATGCACACAAGGGATTCTGGTTTATAATTCATTCTGTCTGTCTGTTGGATATCGTTTATGAAAGTGACAGACTCATTCAGCGTAGGCAGGCTATTCTCAAAACTATACATTGCATTCTGAAGTCTGTAGGCAAAATCCAGGTCATGGGTTGAATACCTTAACACGCAAGTATCTTTTCTTTCGTGTTTTTGGAGATCATACACATGATTTAGTTTAATGACTTCCTTACAGGTATCAGGCGTTTTCCCAGAATTAAAAAACAGATGACATGTGGTGTGATCTGCCTCTGGTTTATCGTAAACAAGATGTTCTGCTGTTTCTATGTCAATAAAGGCAAAATTTTTCTGAGGGGAAGGAGAATTTTCACATTCGTGACAGTCACATGTATCATCTTCGCCCTCAAGAGTCACCTCAACACCGCGAATCCAGCCAGTGCCAGCCCTCACCTGGTTGTTGCTCTTGTCATGGAGCCACGGGTACGGCACGTCAGTTCCTGGGACAGTTTCAGGTCTGTTCTCACTGACATAATTGACTGTCACACAGACAGTTAAATCTGATGCGTATTTGAGGCACTCCATGAGCTCATCACTTCGGTAGAAAGGTGGGAGATGTTCCTTCGTCAAGGTCTCAACAGAAAAGAAATTCCGGTGTCCTGGATTCTTCTTACAGGCGGCGTAATGCTGGTTTTGATCTTGCTCTTCTACACTACAGAAGTTGTCTTCCCATGGTCCTGTTGTAGATACAGAAATGAACAATTAATAAAAACAAAACCATGATATTTAGATTTTTTTTTAAAGTATCCAGAAACCATGAGTTGTAAAACCTTTGGCTCAGTACTATGGCTATCGCAACCCTTCGGCCTTAATTCCAATATAGGTACAGTTAATCTGGGAGAAATGTGGCTTTTCTGCCTACCCCCGGGAGTGAACCCGGACCACAAGGAGTTCGTCACCCGGCCGCCGTGAAAGTCAGGTTTAAATTCACGTCTGCTGCTAATGTATCTCTTCATTGTCAAACTGTTTGTTGCCAGCTGATCTCTCTGAATTAGATATTTTTATAACACACAAGTAGACTGGCATGCTTCGTACAGAATGGCAAGCATTGCTTTAGAGGTCCAGGGTAGTTGACATCCTTAGGATATTTTTTCCAGGGTATACCGGTGTGTTGGGAAAAGAGCAGGCGGATAAACTGGCCGGCTCTGCATCTTGGTGGTGAATTAATGTATGACAAGCTAGATTTTGTGAGGGCCCTTTGGGAAAAAGTGAACAGTTCGGGGGCGCAGATAGATCATTATGGTCTGAGAAGAATAAATGGCGCTGCGAGGAGTTACTAGGGGATGTGGCCGACGCTCGACACTTAGGGAAAGGATGAGACGAATCTGACAGTTCCTGGTGCCATTGAAAGTGGAACTCTTTGCTTGCTGCTGAAGATAGGGACGGAGCACTTTTGCCACTTTTGGACTGTCCCGAGTGCTGTGAGGTCGATTATTAAATCAACATTCTGAATTGGGGGGGGGGGGCTTTCAGGCATACCGAGGGGAATAAAAGAGAGACGTTCTCTAAATGACTTGCTGATTGATGATGATAATGATTATGTACACACAGTTATTGTTACCAACCTGATTCAGTGTTACAGTAATTATGGCCAGGTTGTGAAACTGACGCCCCACAATGAACTTCTGTCGACATCGGTTCGGGAATATCCAGTTCGGTGAAGTCCTGCATCACAAAAACATGAGCCCCACTAGACCCAGGACATGTAGCCGCTGTGTAGTAAAAGGAAACTAGTTGATTGTTCCACTTGTCTGCACTTATCCACCGACCTAAGCTGATCTCTTTGCTACATCCATGTGGGTGAGACACTATACACAATAATGGATGCTTGTCCATAGATGTCGGGCTCAGCTTGAATTTATAGTGCCTGGGTTTTTTCGTGAAGATTGTATCTCCTAGGCTATCCATTGTTTCCAACATTTGTTCAAGTTTGTTAGCCAGTTTCAGGTCATGAGTAAAGTGAATGATTTCGCACGTGTCCTTGCTGATATCATTATGCACATAAGACATGCCGGCAAGTTTGACAACACATCCGCATTCATCCAGTTTACGACCTTTGTCAAAGAACAAATGGCACGTGGTGTGTTCTGCCTCAAGCTCATCAAAGACAACATGAGTTGCTGTGTTTACGTGAATTTTAGCAAAGTTAGTCTCTGGCGTAGAAGAGCTCCGACACTCCTTACATTCACAAGTATCATCTGGAGAGAGTTTTGAAACGTTCGCAAATATCACAATTCCCGTTCCAAATGTAATTCTTCGCCGACCCCTAACACGGTAACCTGGGTAAGGCTTGCCATTGTCTGGAGCAATTACTGGTCGTTTGTCACTGACACACGTGACTGTCACACGAACTGTCAAGTCGGACACTAACTTGATGTAATCTACATGGTCCTTGTCGCGATAGCCCTCTGGAAGATCGTCGATACAGAACTTGTCTACGGGTATAAATTTCTTGTGACCTGGATTCTTTACACACTTTTCGTATTGTTGATGAAGATAAGCCTCTCCTTCATAACTGTATTCAGCCTCCCACGGACCTGGTGGACAGATACAGGACACCTTGTCATGGACAGTTACCCCATCAACGCATGATCACATCAAAGACAACGGTCATACATAATAACTTCATAATCACCTACAGCAGTATTCTTCGGCAGGTAAGCCGTTAAAAAGTCTAGGAGGACCGACAAAAATGGCTGCTAACCTGTTGGGGTTTAACGTCCCTCAATCACTCACTCACTCACTCAATCATTCACTCACTCACTGTTTGACCTCGGGGCTATTTTTATTTCATGTTTGCAGATAGATTCACAAAGAGACAGACTTTGAACCAGGGTCCCGACACGAAGAAAACATTGAGAAGGCTCAGGTCCCACCCTCACCCCACTACCACAACTCCTCCCTCATCCCACTACCACAACCCCTCCCTCACCCCACTACCACAACCCTCCCTCACCACACTACCACAATCCCTCCCTCCCTTACCCCACTACCACAATCCCTTCCTCCCTCACCCCACTACCACAATCCCTCCCTTACCCCACTACACAAAACCACTCCACTACCACATTCCCTCCCTCACCCCACTACCACAATCCCTCCCTCCCTTACCCCACTACCACAATCCCTCCCTCACCCCACAACCACAACCCCTCCCTCCCTCACCCCACTGCCACAATCCCTCCCTCCCTCCCTCACCCCACTACCACAATCCCTCCCTCACCCCACTACACAAAACCACTCCTTCACCCCACTACCACATACCTCCCTCACCCCACTAACACAGTCCCTCCCTCCCTTACCCCACTACCACAATCCCTCCCTCCCTCACCCCACTACCACAATCCCTCCCTCCCTCACCCCACTACCACAATCCCTCCCTCACTGCACTACCACAATCCCTCACTTCACTACCACAATCCCTCCGTCACTCCACTACCACAATCCCTCCCTCACTCCACTACCACAATCCCTCCCTTACCCCACTGCCACAATCCCTCCCTCCCTCACCCCACTACTACAATCCCTCCCTCCCTCACCCCACTACTACAATCCCTCCCTCACCCCACTGCCACAATCCCTCCCTCATCCCACTACCACAACCTCTCCCTCACCCCACTACCACAGCCCCTCCCTCACCTCACTACCACAATCCCTTCCTCACTCCACTACCACAATCCCTCACTTCACTACCACAATCCCTCCGTCACTCCACTACCACAATCCCTCCCTCACTCCACTACCACAATCCCTCCCTCCCTCACTCCACTACCACAATCTCTTCCTCACCCCACTACCACAACCCCTCCCTCACCCCACTACCACAGCCCCTCCCTCACCTCATTACCACAATCCCTATTTCGTCAAAACAATTATAGGTAAAGGGAGAGCCTGAGGAGACGTAGTCATATTTTAATAGCAGATAATAAACAATAATAATTTAAAAAAAACAAGTAAGTGCTGAATGGTTAAAAACGCGAAATAATATGACATGTTTAAGTAAGTATTTTTAAACAATAATTTTCCTTGGCTAATGGGACCGCTTGGCTCGCTTACAAAACTTGAGAGGAAAAAAAGTGGGGTCTGAGCTCCAAGGCTGTGGCATCTCTGACTGGAGTCACAGAACTGGACTCACAAATTAAATAATTATAAGAAAGAAGAACCAACCTTGATTCTCTCTGTCCAGTTCGGCTAGGGACAGAGCATCCTGCACAAGTTGGGTGTCCTGTCTAGCTTGTACATCCTGGCCAGCTTGTATGTCCTGCCCAGGTTGTATGTTCTGCCCAGGTTGTATGTTCTGCCCAGGTTGTATGTTCTGCCCACTTTGCACGTCCTGTCCAGGTTGGATTAAAGAGTCAGGCGTGCTGTCCAGTATGGCTATGGTCAGTGACTTGTCCGTGTCTGTGGGACATATACACTGAATAAATGTGTGAATGTGTAAACTGACGTAACTGCACTCAGGATTTTCCCATACCTGCTTCTTCCTCCTCCTCAGTAGCCAACAGAGGGGATGAAGCAGCTAACCTATCAGTCTGCTCTTTACCACGCACACCCGAATATTCTGAGCAGAAAATCAGTAACATACTTTTTTTTAATCCGAGTCTTGTCACACGATGCACGCCACTCTGATGCAAGAAACCGGATTCTATTACCCAAGCATGCTCTATAAATCATTTATGATTACACCATGTCTGGCTGTATTACTCTCGAGCTTTGGGAAATATACAGTGATATAGTCTTAGTCTTAGTCATGGCAATTCACGCCCAGGTGATCTGATTATCTATATACATGGTTCGGTGCTGAGAGGAAAGAGAAGTGCATGGGGGTTTGTAGCGAAAGCCAATGGAGACTCTTTAGTGCATATGACACCACACCATCTATCATGAGAATGGAGGTGGAGGCGGTATCTGCAGCTCTCCGGTGGCTAGAGAACAAGATGCATACACATGTCGTAATTGTAACAGTCTCTGAAAGCATGCTGACAAAGGTGACGACAGGGATGCTTCGAGCAAAGTGGCAAGCTTCACTGGAAAGGTCGTGGGTAGTTAGCATACTTTGGATCTTTTCTCCAGGCAATGCCGGCGTGATGGGCACTGAACAGGCAGACAGATTGGCTGGATCTGCACCACTCATGGATACATGACAAGGCAGATGTGGTCAAGGCCATTTGGAAACAAGCAACGGAATCAGTAGAGAAAGAAGATAAGTATGGCCTGGAGAGAATGAGGCACCTGTGTGTTACCAGAGGGTCTGGCCGGCTGACTACACTCAGAGGAAAGGCAAGACGGACATTTAACCAGATTGTGACCTGTACCATCAGTATTGGAACTCCGCGCTGGCTGCTGAAGATTAGGACGGAGCATACATGGGAATATCCCGAGTGCTGTGATGTCAATTCTTGACTCAACTCTACTAGGGTTTCAACTTCACTGCAGTCGGGTTTCCCCATAATTGCTCCGTTCCTGTGCCAATGCAAATCAAATCAAATGTCCCTCATTGTTGCAATTGAAAAACTGGTGAACAAACAATCAGTCCCGGAACAACCCAGAAATATGCGCATGTAGTAAATGAGTATGTCAGTTGCTGGAGGCGCCAAAGCCAACAACCTTCACCAGAAATGCAGTTTATCGTTGATGGAAATAGTCAGGCACGATAAGTTGGTAACTATACACACGTAGAATTATAACATAAGGTATTTCACCAGCTCACACGTAAACCGGCTACTGGTCATGAATACCACGACACAACCGCTGCACTAATAAAAGGCAATCCACAGGAAAAACACAGCTCAACCAAGCACTAAACTCAGTGGCTCAGGCATCGAAACCGCAGATTACCGTCCTTATGTGGAAACTGCATTAGCAAAGCGCTGTTGAAAGCAAAAATAACTTCGAAGCTAAACAGTCTGCCAAGGCTTTCCTATCGATATACACAAAATACGTGTATCGTGCTATCAGACGTGAGTGTTTCGAATCCTCACCGAGTCGGATAATCAGTTTTTTTTTTTTTTTTTTCAAAGTTGCCATTTGTCATCAAGTCGAGCCAGCCTAAAATGGATACCAGGTTACGTCATGGAAAATAAAGGCGGTCGGCGTCTGTTAATCTCACCACACCACACAGGGCCGGATTTAAACTTGAAAAGGCCCTAAGCTATATAACGCCATGAGGCCCCTACCGTTTTAGATTACAAAAACTCATCCCAGAAAACTGTAAAATATATACGCCTTTTAAATACATGGATAATGGAAACGCAAAGTCGTTTAGTTGGGAGTAGCCGTGGCGAAGCGGATTGACGCTCGCCTGCGGATCGGAAGGTCGTGGGTTCGCTCCCTGGCGGAGCCGGACATCCCCAGACACTGTGGTTCCCACTGATCATTAGAATAAACAAAGGTTACATGCATTTAAAGCAAATACTTACTGCCCGCGTCCTCTGATGAACTCCCGCCTGTCCTGTGTGTACACACTCTCTTTCTGCTAGTGTCTGGGGATGTGTCCTCCCGGTGTTTGCTTGTTGCCATCTTGTAAGGGATTAATTCCTGTTTGGCATATCAGGAATATAATGTTGGCAGGTCTATATTTACGTTATGTGCAACACGTGCAGCTACATAGGGCGGCAAAATTCTTGACTATGGCAAAATTCTTAAGTTTGGCAAAATTTTTGACATTGGCAAAGTTCTTAGGTTTGGCAAAATTTTAAAGTTTGGCAAAATTCTTAAGTTTGGCAAAATGTTTGACTTTGGCAAAACTCTTAAGTATGGCAAAATTCTTAGGTTTGGTAACATTCTTAAGTTTGGCAAAATTCTTAAGTTTAGAAAAATTCTAAAGATTGGCACATTTTTTAGGTTTGGCAAAATACTTAAGTTTGGCAAAATTCTTAGGTTTGTCAAATTATTTAGGGTTGGCAAAATTCTTAAGTTTGGCAAAATTCTTAGGTTTGGAAATTTTTCTAGGTTTGACAATATTCTTACGTTTGGCAAAATTCTCAGGATTGGCAAATTTTTTAAGTTTGGCAAAATTGTTAGGTTTGGCAAATTTTTTAAGTTTGGCAAAATTCTTTGGTTTGGCAAATTTTTTAGGTTTGGCAAAATTCTTAAGTTTGGCAATTTTGTTAGGTTTGGTATAATTCTTAGGTTTGGCAAAATTCCACAATGGGGCCCCGCAATCCACATGGAGGCCAAAACAGTTTAAAACTAAATTAAAAGTCCCCAACTTATTGTTGGTAGTCTGTAAACGAATAGCAATGCTGAAGTTTAGCTAAACTTTAGCCGGTGGAAAATAAGGCGTAAAATAAATGACTGCACAAGAGCGTGATACATCCTAGACATAATTTTTTTAGACCAATCGTCACTCGGTAGGTGATATGGTCAACATGACCCCAGCGGTCTTTACTTCCCAGGACTGGTACCAGTTTTAGGCTGGGTCGACTCGAGACCTCTTTCTCTTTACCATTATCATTGACATCTTCTTTGCATAATCAGGGAAGAAAAATGGTAAAGGAACAATGCCATGTCTCCGAAGTTAAAATACTTGAGCAAAACCAAACACCACATGGGTTAGGACAGTAAAATAAAAAATAAAATAAAATAAAAGTAAAGGACCCTTTTCCACGCCTTTTGGCGTATATTGCACATAGGGCTAGACCTATATTCTATAGACCAATCGGCACAAGATGGGTGATGTGGCCAGCATCACGACGGCCGCCTTTACTTCCCGGGACTGCACCCGGTACCCACTCAAGGCTGGGTCGACCTGGGAACCAAGGTCTTTTTTTTTTGAAGAAAAAAAAAAAAAAGTCCAGCTCCGCCGGTTAAGACAGTAATGTCAGGGGAAATGCAGTCTCCGAAGAATGGGTACGGGCGTTAGAAGCCCTAATGTTGTGGACACGGGTAGAAATCTGACTTCTTCTCGTGGGTCACAATGAGAGTGTTGGTTGCCAAAAGGCTTGAAACATGACGATGATGATACTGTATGAGTTTTTAGTATGATAATATTATTATATAAATTATCAAAAGTTATAATTCGTTGCGTTTAGGAACCAAACCGAGCCCCGTTTGTTGGCTGTTGTGGTTTTTCTAGGCAGATTTTACGTTCAGTAATCAATTATCAAACCTACCTAAATATTCGTCAACTCTTGATTTTAGAAAAACACGAAGTCCTACCCGGAAAACAAGCAAAATATTGATCTGGAGTGTTTTTTTTTTTTTTTTACTTACGTTAGACTTCAGACATTTTTTAAGAGGAAAGCCTTTATGAATATTCTAGTAGATTACATAATTGTGGTAAGGTAATTTCACAAATATTTACAATGATAGAACCACGTCAGACCAACTTTCCGAAAACACGTCTCACGTAACAAGTGGACTTCCCGATTCTGTGCATATTCTATAAATATGTTGAATAAATTATGGAACTCGTTACAGTCACCGTTATTCCCCTTGTGGGATGCAATTTTTCATTATTTTGAAGCCCCACCCTGGCTGTTGCCAGGGGCCGCAATATAACCTAACGGTTGAACGCGGTTTCCGGGACCTCTCCACGGGTGATCCTCATCCGCATGGTGGCACTTTGTGTCACTGGGTGTTTATCGCTCTGTGTGATGTCCTGGTGGGGTAACACTTACTTACTTACTATGGAACTTTATTGTTTTAAAACTAAATCACGTAATTTTTTTTTCTTCTTCTTCTTCTTCTTCTTCTTCTTCTTCTTCTTCTTCTTCTTCTTCTTCTTCTTCTTCTTCTTCTTCTTCTTCGCGTTCACCAGCTGTGCACTCTGGCGGAAAGTTATGGTTGATCGTCCACTACTGAACTGCAGTCTTGCTCCAGAACCTGAGTGTTGCGTGTGCATCAGTTTTACAGATCTCATTCTCTTGAATACAGACTGTTGGTTCCTTGCCTCTCCGGCAGAAGCACTCCGACTTCAAAGGAAGCTCCCCAATTAGTCGTGATTCTCATGCTTTCAGTTTTAAAATTTCGGAGAACCACATTAGACATCGCACACAAGTTAAATGCGTTGGGAAAAAAATGTCTACACAATACAAGTCGTCCCCTCGTAGGGATTTTTTTTGTTTTTGTTATTTTGAAGCCCCACCCTGGATCTTGCCAGGGGGCCCTGAATATAACCGGGCCTTAGATATGGCCTAACCATAAATATGGCCTAACAGCTGAAAGGGATTTTCCGGGACCTCTCCACGGGTGATCCTCATCCACATGGTGGCACTTTGGGTCGCTGGGTATCTGTCGCTTGTGTGATGTCCTGGTTGGGTACAACTACCTACCTACCTATAAATGTCTACAGAAAATGATTAAAATAAATGGAATTAATTCAAGAAAGGTGAAGAATGAGAGAAATGTCTGGACAACTGTTTGTATCAGCAGCTTTAAGACCACGGACAGAGAACAACCAAACAGGCACTGAAAGGGGAAACAAATGGAGTGAGACACGAGTACGGCCAAGATAAACCTCAAAACGAAAGTTGATGAGTGAGGCCAAAGGTGCTGGAATAGATTCTATCATAGATTTCAAATGATTGCTAGATTCCATCCATGATATCAATTGATTGCTAGGTTTCATCCATGTTATCACAAAGATTGATGGACCTCATCCATGTTATTTAAAAAATATATATATTTATAGATTCCATCGATGATATCAAACAGATTGCTTGATTCCATTGATTATATCAAACAGATTGCTTGATTCCATCGATGATATCAAACAGATTGCTTGATTCCATCAATGATCTCAAACAGATTGCTTCATTTCATCCATGAATTCAAAAATATTGCTACTATGAGTGCGGCTGTGACTTAAAGGTCAGTGAAATCATTTTACAATTCAATCTCCGATGTACTAGGGCCCGACTTATATGACCAGCTATTTAGTAAAAGAACGTTCTTGTGGTTATCAGACAGTGGTGAGAGAGTCGCACCTTGGAAGTTATTGGGATTTTACCACGTCATATTCCCAAAGACAAAACAATTTGCTAAATTTTTGTTGTTGTAACAAACTTCTGCCTCAGCTTTAAACCTTTCCTAAAAAAATAAATGCTCCTATTGCTCCCGTCCGTTGATGTAAAAAAAGTTTGAAGAACACTTTTAAATGACATTGCAAGTCAGCCACAGATTCGTGATGCCTAGGTGCCTGGTTAGATACCAACTGCATACGATTTGACAGCAAACCGCCTTGTGTTTGTTTCGACAGTAGTATCAGGCGGCAACAGCCGAGTTAGCGATGGCAAACAACTGAAGGTAAAATTCTTAGTAAAATCATATACAGTTAAAAGTTTTTTTTTAAATGTTAGGGTTGGTTCTGTAAAGAACACACAATTAACTTTGTAACATGTTATTTCCAGATTTTGCTAGTCTGTATTCTTCTCTTGTGCCTTTATTCCGCTCCAGACTGCTACTTGATGATAGGAGCCTAAGATTGAAAAAATCTCTCTCTGGACGGCAGACCAACAGTCTGAATCTCAGATACCCCATTACAACCTTTAAAGCTGTTTTAACTGTGTCAACCGTAACGGCGATAGCGGGTTACTGTAATCTGCCGTCCTGGGTGGGTATGATATTGTCTTCTTTTCTTAGAGCAGGGCTATTCAACCGGTGGCCCGCGGGTCACATCTGGCCCGCTGAGATCTAGCAAATGACACTGGGATTTCTGCCAGTTGTTTTGTATTAATGATCTTTCTATACTGGGGTTCAGGCTTCTGGTTCATGGCGATACCAATTTTCCCAATTGTTTCCCTTGAGTAAAGTTAGTTGAATAGCCCGGTTTTAGAGCGTAGTAGCAGCAGCTGGGATTTTGTACTCAGGTACAAAAAGGGTGTACATAAAGGAGTTCAATAGGGGAAGACTACGAGACAGACCGATAAAACTACAAGAGGAAAGGGGGGGGGGGATTATATCCAGATAGACCTGCAAAGACAGCAGTCATCACTGGAGAAAAGGTCAATCATGACTGACTGACTGACTTTCTACCCCACCAGGACATCACACAAGCGATAAACACCCGATGACACAAAGTGCCACCATGTGGATGAGGATCACCGTGGAGAGGTCCCAGAAACCGCGTTCAGACATTTGGCCATATGTATGGCCTGCCTATATTGCGGCCCCTGGCAGAAGCCAGAGTAGGGCTTCAAATGACAAAAAATTTCGTCCTGAAAAGAACGAAATTGAAAATGTTACGGTCAATCATGGAGATGTATGGAGGCAGGTGTAATCTCAACCTCCAGGGCTTAGACTTCTGAATTATGTTGAATGTGGTGGTGGTTGTGGTTGTACTGCTCCTGAAGATGATGATGACGACGATGATGATGATGCTGATGAGAAAATACACCTCTTACATATGATATCATACAATCTAAGCTCAGACAACAACAATAAACAAGCAGTTCAGTGCCCTGTAAATTCTTTTACATGAAATTAATTAACACAATAAAAATAGTGACTCGGGAAACTCGGCGGAGGTAAGGGAGAAAACACGGCGTGATTTTAGTGCACTGACAGTAATTACAGTT